CTCTTTCTTACTATACGTACCGACTGAATTAGTTCCTTAGGTTTTGGAGAGAAAGTTTTTGGTTTATTTAATGTGATGTGAAAGACGGTTACGTCTGATCAGCTGCTGCTAAAAGGAAAATGAATCTCATTGGAATTTTTACGTGTAACTGCACTATATATAAGTTCATGACATGTCATTAGATAATACATATATCAACACTAAGAATGCGAAAAGTTATTGAAGTTTTGCATGTTCTAAATCTTACCTCGAACTAGTCATTATCCCTTACTCCCTTGGGCAGCTGATAAGTACGTATAGCATATAGTATTGGTAATTGTGATTTGGAATTCTTTTGGATGAGAAAACAAAATATATATATATATATATATATTTTTTTTTTTTGGGATGTTTAGGCATGTTGTCATGTCACTGCATGGATATTATCATGGGCGTTACATAATGCACATATGAAGGTGTACTATAGTACTATTCTCAACAAAAGCAATATGTTACAAAACATGCATTAACAATTCCTTCCAAGAAATTAAAAAGAAAAAGTAACATGATCATCAGAAATCAACAAGTAGTAATCAGTAAGTTCAACACTTTCTTTACAACCCCATCAAAACCATTAACAATCATACATTTAAGCTACACAAAAATTAACCAACTCTCTTAAAAACCTTCGATCGGTACTTTTCATCTAAGCATTGGAGCCGAATTAGGCTGGTAGGCCTTCAAGAAAGCATAGTAATTCAAGTTCCCGGCTGCCAAATGCGCGGGCCCAGCAGCAAACCCTACCGCGCCACCCGGCCCCACAGCGGGCCTATTAGCCCCGGCCTGCTCCAACGTCTGCACTTGCTTCTTCAAAAACTTGACGTAGTGAATTGCCTCATCCAACATTGACGCCGTGTCCATCTTGGTCCCTCCGGGGACGAGTCTCTGCAGAATCCTTATCCTCTCGCTTATCCTCTCCCTCCGGTGCCTCGCCGCCACGCTCTGCGGGTCCTTGGATATCTTGACGTTGCGCCTCTTCGGCGGCTTTATTGATTCGGGGTCGATGTGGATCGGCTGCATCGCCGCGATCCGGAAGATCATCTCTCTCATCGCCGCCATGGAATTGCTCCTCTTATCATACGGATGAGGAATATTATTGTTATTGCTCATATTCGGCATTGCACCACCTGTTTTGAATCTCATCGGCTGAAGAGGGGGAGTCACCGGTTCCTGAATCGGGTTTCCCATGAAGGAAACAGACGAGCTTGCGAGATTGAGAAGAGTTGTCGTTTGAACGGATGAAGAAGGAGAAGAAACGACGTTAGGATTATGGAATATATTTGGCTCGGAGAAGTTGATGTCTAGAAACGTTGGTGGTGGTGGTGTTGTGTTCTGATAAGGGACGTCGCAGATTAATTGATGATCATGATCAGGGTTCGGCTTCTCCATTTGCATCATGATTGTCATCATGTCAAGCTGCTGCTGCTGGTGGTGATCTCCTGCCGTTGATGATGATAACTTTATCATGTCAACGTCCATTATGGGTGAAATTCTGAAGTCGGATTACGATAAGGAAATGGGGAACTCTGAGAATGAGCAGAGATGAGGTATGGAGTTATTTTTGTTGCAGAGATAAGAAGATGGGAAAATTTGAAATGTAAGGCAAGTTTTTGAAATAGATTTTTTGGGTTTTTTTTTTTTTTTTTTTTTTTTTTATAGTGAAAGTATATAGTGTGTTAAGGGTCAGTTTTGTGAGTGGAGAAATGAGAAAGGAACTTTATATAGCAAAGCTGAGACTAATATTTTAATCCCCTAAGGGAATACATACAGAGGAGACTCACAAACTCATTTATGAGTATTATTTATGATATCTGATAGAGACCGCCCATCATGTGGGGCTAGTTATAATCTCTCTAGTCTCTATGGCCGTTTGATCATCAGATGCTGGTCGTCACCTTCTCGAAAGGTCAAAGGTGGGATCCAACGGTTGAGATTGGACATGGGCCCACGGTTTATTGTGGGACGGTTCTTGGAGCATGGTGGAAAATTATAGTGGTGCATTGAACAGTTTTCATATCTCTCTCTCTCTCTTTGACTGGAATATATATGTATCAACTTAAAGTTTCCTTTGCTTTTGCTTAAATATTTTTAGTTTTTTACATTCTGGAAAGACTAGGCCATGGAACCCACCCTCACATGACATTTGTCAGAATTTTAAAAACAAAATAAAAAAATAAAAAAACTTTCCCCTGATCAGTAATTAACAGTTCAGATCGTATACATTTTTTGGGAAAATTATAGCAAATAGGGATTTTAAAAAAAATAATAATAATTTTGCTCAATAATATATTCTAAAATATTTATGATAAATAATTTATTAACGGTAAATGATAAATCATTTACTAAACAAATGTATAAGATAAATTTATTGTAAATATTGATGGTGGTTATTATTAAATATAAAAATCTGATAACGTGACGTGATAAGAATCCAGTTTCATTAATTGTCGTAAATTTTTTTGTTAACTATATAATTTATTATAGTCATTAGATTAATATCTTAAGGCTAAAACAATAATACCCATTAATTGGTAAATATTAAAGTAACTATTAAAATCACACTCATGTAAATATACTTTGTAAATAAATCATTTACCATAAATATTTACTAAATATACTATTTATCATAAATATTTTAAAAAATGTGTATTATTTAGCTCTGTTTCTCTATTTTTTCCAAACAAATTTCTTACAGAAGATGAGTTCTACATATGTATATGTATGTGTGTGTATATGCATGTATAAATATATAACGGAGAGTAGTTACAATTATAAGCTGGGAGATCAGATTCAGATAGTGTCATGTGTATATAGTGAAGTGGGTTTTGGGAATTGAGTAGTAATTGGGACCTACTACTACAGTATTATTCCATGGTCACATTGCTCTCTTGGGTTGTATTCTGATGGTGCAATAGCTGTTTTGCTTGCTCGTACAGTCTCTCTCTTTCTCTCTTGGCACACTTTCCGAGGTGGATTAAGAGCTGACGGTGATGCTGACCCTCTCTGGTAAATCTCCAGCAACTTGTATCAACTGATCTCTCTCTTCCTCTCGAGGAATGCTAAAATACAAACTCTTTTCATATCCTATATTTATTTAGCATGTGTCATTTTGCTTTTGTCAAACAACCACACTTCACAATAACTCACCATTTTTTATTATGATCTTGTTTGGTTTAAATTTTTAATTTAAGTTGAGAATAAAAAATTAAATGTGATTTTTTATAAATTTTTTTTAATTATAATAATATTAAAATTAAAAAATTGAATATGTGAAATGAACTATTCTTCTCACGATTACAACTCTCACGACTCGGATCTGGCTTGTGCAGTGGGCCCCACGTATATTTACTATTATATGACTATTGTGAAAATACTTCACACAAATCAAAACACAGACAGACAAACAGGAACACCGTTATGTGCAAAGCGGCCGGCAACCACGAGTCAGGGGAAGCAAGCAAAAGAATGGAGACTATGGAAGAATGGGTATTTGGGTATGAAAATTACAAACAAAAGAACGAAACCAGCGTGAGCAACTAAACTTCATGTTGGAGATTTTGACTAAACTTCATGAGCAACTAGTAGTTCGACAGAGACGGCCCCGCCGACGATTCGTTGTAGTTCATTTTGGCTTAAGATAACAGACAATAAGAAGATGTTCTCTCCGACGGTTTCAATAGTTTGACGCCGATTGGCGTTTGAATCGACTAATAATCCGTTTAGTTTGTTAATTTAAATTTTTAATTTAAATTAAGATGTAATTTTATATAAAATTTTTTTATTATAATAAAAAAATTAAATATAATTATTTTTAAATTTTTTTTATTATAATTAAATTTGAATTAGTGAAATTCATTTACCTTTTTTTCACCTGCTCATAAAGGCACAGCCATGGATCTAGGAAAGATTTGTCTTGTTTTTTATTTTTTTATTAAAATATAATTTTATGTGATAATTTTTTATTATAATAAAAAAATTAAATGTGATTATTTTTAAAAAATTTTATCATAATAAAAATTAAATTGGTAAAATTCATTTGCCTTTTTTTCACCTGCCCATAAAGGCACGGCCATGGATCTAGGAAAGATTTGTCTTGTTTTTTGCTTTTTTTTTGTTCTGTTTTGTGTGACGGTTATAACTTTTTACCATGGTATTTTTTGGGTTGCAAAGGCAAGTAATAGTGATGAAAGCCCTAAAAAATGTTATTTCTTTAAGGCTTTAAGCTGAAAAAAAGAAAGAATGCAGTTTCGTAAATATAATTGAAAACAGTGACTTATTATTAAGTGGGTATATTTGATAATATCAAAATAACACATGTCAAATAAATAGGATAACATCTATATAAAGTCTAAAATAGAATCTGCATTTAACAATCTTCCTTCTTTCTTTTTCCCATTTCGTGATAACTTATGGTAACTAACTTTACACTGTCCAACTATTGCTCAGTTTTCATGAAAACATATCAGGACCAGATGTATAGGATAAAAAGTTATTACTACACAGTTGAAATTATGAGGAGCTTTTTACAGTACGTGAAAAGGATAGAAAATAATTAAATCTCGTTTCATAAATGATAGTGTAGATGCAAAAGTACAAATGAGTAACATTTACACTTTTTTCCTTTTTTTGTGTTAATGTCAAAAAGAAAATTCACCTTCTGTCTTGAATTACTTTATTGCTGATATATCATATTGAATTACCTTGTGATCTACACAAAATCTATTAGTTCTCAACGTAGAATCTTCTTTTTCAAAAAGAAACGATGATGCTCAATAAAACAATTTTTGTCAGAAAATTATATCCCTGCATGATGATCTGCAATACTCCAAAACCAGGAATTCTTTTTAAAATAATTCATAGAAATTAGACTACTCCAAATTGTGACACTATATTAATATAATATCTAATCAGCGACATGAACATATGAAGTGCACATGGAGGACTGAGCACCAATGTTCAATTTTCCCCCTAATATTTTACCTAAGGATATATAGTATTCTTTTTGCTATTATATTGAAAAAAAAAAAAAAAAAATTTAATTTGTACCCTTATTTTCTCTACTAGTAAATTAAGACACACTCATCTTGGTGAAGACTGATCAATACATGTAAAATAAAAGTACTATATATATAAATATATATATATATATATATAACACAGCAAAGATATATTAAATTGAATTAATTCATCCACTATTAATAAGAAAGAGCCTCTCAAGCAGACAACTATATAAACTTTCAGAAAGTGGTTCCCTTGCTCTCAGCCAATATATCACTGTCTTTCTACACCATATTATTTACTAACATTGAAAAGAAAAAAAAAAATTTTACTTGCACCGAAATCACATAGACCGGACAGTCATTGTAGTAGAACTCCATTCTTTCATATTGTCTGGTCCTTTTTTTTTTTTTTCCTCCCATCTCACGCTACCATTATTGCTCAGGGCCTTTTTCTTATTCCCATATGAAGAAAAGACTTTTTGGAATGGAATTCTTTGACAGTACAAGTGCTTTAATCTCACTGCAAAAAACCCTTCAAATTTTCATTTCTAGTATAACTGCAGAAAAAAGAGGAGCTTTCTTCGCATGCTTTTCTGAAAGCATGCACTTCTTATGTATGTGCATGTATATATGTGTAAATATAAATATATATATATATATATATACATACATATATTTATGTATATATAACTCTGCAATTGCTAAAGTACTGTAGACACCCTCGCAGGGTCATTATCATTTCATTATTATAAGTCTGCAAAGTTTTAAATGTAGACGGTGGTGTATCATTAAAAGCTATAGGTCAATATCTTAAACTCTCTCACTTTTGCTTAGGTTGATATAAAGAGACAGCCGCGTAATTGTTCTTGTTATTATTACTATTCATTGTACGTCTCCATTTCACCAACTTGCTTTCCTGCTGTCTAATGGCTATTAAGAGAGCATTACAAGGAGGAATTCTTTCATTTGTTCGAGAATATCTATACATGTGTACGTAATTGGTGTGTATATATACACATTATGTGTATATAAATATATATATATATGTACACACACACATGTTTATAGGTGTTAATATATTCATGTGCCTTTATTTGAACAGAGAGGTTGTTCTTAATGATAATGAAGATAACAATTAAACAACATTGGACCAGTACTGCGGCTGAAATCATGGTAATCTGCAGTTATGATGGAACCAGTTTGCAGTCTTGATCATCTTTAATAAAAACTATTACGTCGCTAGCAATTGCACACATATATATTTGTAGACCACTAAAAGCTAAGACATTAAAAGATTATATGTGACGACATTTTATCCTACATATTAAAAAAAACAAATCCAAGGGAAAATTCAAATAGATCGTGGTTGATTTGCAGCCAAAATTACAAAAAGTAAGACAAAGAGCTCTTTACGATTGTGATGTCATTAGATCGAATGATAGGTTTGTCAACAAATTAAGATGCAACGTGTACTAATTA